AGTAAAGGATATCACTATCCAGCCACCAACCTGGAAGCTGGCCTGGGCTCTCATCTCTCCCTCCTACGTCCATTGCTCGAACATACTCTTGGGCTTGACCTTCAAAGGGAGTCAGAACTGACCACTACATCCCTCTGTACTACCACCTCGGTCTGGGGTGCCAGCACCTCTCTCCTGGATTAGCACAGTACCTTTTCACCCCAGCCAGAGGGATCCTTTTTTTTTTTTTTTTTTTTTTTTAAAGATTTTATTTATTTGTCAGAGAGAGAGAGAGTACACACAAGCAGGCAGAGAGGCAGGCAGAGAGAGAGGAGGAAGCAGGCTCCCTGCCGAGCAAGGAGCCCGATGCGGGACTCGATCCCAGGACCCCAGGATCATGACCTGAGCCGAAGGCAGTGGCTTAACCCACTGAGCCACCCAGGCGTCCCCAGAGGGATCCTTTAAAACCGAAGTTGGATCTCAGCTCTCCTCTGCTTAAACTCATGCAGTGGCCCCATCTTACCTACAGTAAAAGCCAAAGTCTTCCTGGCCACACAGGCTACCCACCAACCTCAGCCCCTGCTTACTCCCCTCCCTCATCCCAGCCACGCTGGACACCTTGTCTCTCCAACCTTTCCCCCAAGCACTGTCCCACTTCACTGCCTTTGGCTTTGCTGTTCCCTCCAGCCAGAACACCCTTCCCAAATACCCTGCACCTCTGTTCCTGTAGGTCTCTGCTCAGATGCCTCCTCCTCAAGGGGCCCTTCACTCAACATCCTACTCAAAATTGCAGCCTCCCTCCCCACTCTTACCCTGCTTATTTTCTCCATTGCACTCATCACTGCCTGATAGGTTGCACCTTACAGAGATTAGCAGTACCCCCCCTTCCAGAACGTGAGCTCTAGGAGGCCAAGGACTTAGAATTGTTCAGTGCTTTGGCCCCAAGGCCTAGATGGTTCCTGGTGGGTGCTCAGCAAATAGCCACTGAAGCTCTCTGGGTGCTCTCTTGACTCCCAGGGCAATAGAACTTGCCCAAAATTTGTAGAAGTAGAAGCTCTAAAGAGTGTAGTATAGTTACTCCTCCATATTTCACTCTCCGCTCTCCTTCCATCTGGGGGCTGAGTGGGCAGAGGAGGCCTGGAAACGGGCTGGAGGCCCTATGACCTTGTGCAAGTCCCTCCCCTCCCCGGCTTCAGTTTCCTCCTTTGTAAATTTCCCGGGAGGTGGAGGAAGGCTTGGGATGGGGGAATGCCATGACTTCCATAGCCCCTCCCAGCCCTAGGCTCCTCTGCCTGCTGGGGCTGGCACAGGGGCTCAGGGCACACCAGACGTGATCCAAGCCATCAACGGTAGATACACGGACAGCTGGCTGGCCTCACAAGGCCCGGGTAGCCGCCTGGGGACCTGATACCTCTCGGCCAAAGTGAAGTCCCCATCCTTCAAGGCTGGCACCTTCCTCAGGGGATTCACCTGGGCAAAAGCATCGCTGTGGTGCTGGCCTGTGGGGAGAGACCAGTGAGGCGGGTGAGGAGAACTCTGAGCCCCATCCCCCACTGAGGCCTCTCCCACCCCCACCCCTACCCCCACCCCCACCGCACCCCCACCCCAATATCCAGGCACCAACTTTCTGAGGCCCCTATCCAGGTGGGCAATAGGAAGGAGTCCACTCTGCTGGTCACCAGACCACAGACCCTGACCCCACCAGAGGTCCACCCTTCCTGGGTCCACCCTCCCTGGGAACCTGGGCCAAGCAGCATCTCAACTTGGCCATGAATGGGGAGGGTGAGTCCCTGCGGCTGTAAGTCACCCCTACCCCAGGCCCAGCCAATTCCATCCATCTATCAGACACTCCAGTCTCCTCCCTGGGCTCTAAGCTTGCCCCTGCAATCCTCTTCCTATGCCAGCTGCGTAACCTGTCCACACCACACAACTCCGGCCACACCTGCCCCCCAGCCCTTGTTCAGACTCATTCTCTCCAGGAGCTCCTACCCTCTTCCGTCACCCAGCTTCCAGCAGCTCAGTTCTTCTTTCTGTCCCATGCCAAACGCTCAAGTCTCCTTCCCCAGTGGGGGTTTGCAGGTCTGATGGTGTATGGAGTCAGAGGGCCTCAGTGGAACCAGGCTCCAGCCTGGCCACAGGCCCACCAAAGGGCCTATTTGCCCTTCACGTGGGTGAGGAGAATCACCCCTACATATTCTCCCTCCAGAAAATGCCTCTGTGCCCAGCCCCCATCCCAAGGAGCGCTGGAAAGGCAGAGCAAGGTGGCAGCATTGCAGTTGGTGGCCCAAGCTGGGGGCACCAAACACAGAAGGTAGGCAGGCCTAGGTAGAAGTAAAGAGGAGACCAGAGCCAGGTGGAATCGCCTTCTCCTGCTGGCAGCTGCAGAAATTCAAGAGAAGCAGGCTACTCCAACTCAGAAATGAGGAGGCGGTTTCATTGTTTTCTCCAAGCCGGGGTGTGAAGGCATCTGGGCGCTCACTCCACTTCCCCAGGCCTCCCACCCTTCCTGCCTCCCACGCCCCCCACTGCTCTCTCTCCGCTGTGCTCCCTCTCAACCTCTACTTTTTCTTAAAGATTTTATTTATTCATTTGACAGAGATCACAAGCAGGCAGAGAGGTAGGCAGAGAGAGGGGGGAAAGCAGGCTCCCTGATAAGCAGAGAGCTTGACGCGGGGCTCGATCTCAGGACCCTGAGATCATGACCTCAACCGAAGGCAGAGGCTTAACCCACTGCCCACCCAGGAGCCCCTCAACCTGTATTTTGAAAAATGTTTCGTATTCACTAGGCAAAGATCGGGGATCTCGAAAAAGGCACAACAGATAACTGATTACCCAGTTCCCTTACTGCAGCAGGCCGGGGCGGGGGGGGGGGGGGGGGGGGGGGGGGGGGTGTCGGTTAGCACAAGGGCGCGGGGACCGCGGGGCCTGCCTTTCTGCCCCGCCCACCTTTGAGCAGCTCCACCGGGCGCAGCTCGAAGGGGATTCCGTTCTTCTTGGCGAAGATGTAGACGGCGCGACAAGGCTGGGACAGCAGGTCCAGGTAAAGCTCTAGGCCCATGGCCGGAGCAGCGGTCCGCCCCGGGGTCGCGCCCAGGGTATAAGAAGGGGAAGAGGAACGGCTGACAGAACCTGCCAGGCCACAGAGCCTAGAGCCCAGCGCGATCCGGAGGAGAGGGTTGGAGGTGGGGGTGTCTGAGCCCCGCCACACCCTCCCCGCCCATTGGATAGCTCTGGAGAACTTTGGGCCAATCAGCGGCGCCCCAACTCTCCCTCCCTCCCTTCTCTGGAACCCTGGCAGCAGTTCTCTTGGTGGAGAGGGCGCTGGAAGATTTGGCCTGTGACCTGAGGTTTCGCTGCCAGGTCATACCCCTTCCCCGGACCTCAACGTCTACCTTTGTCAAATGGTGCAGTGGAGGGTGGTAATGGGAACGGGACACCAAGAACGCTTCCAGCACGGACCTTCAGTGAATTTAGGATCGAAAGGGCTCGGCTGCCTTCAGTTCGCCCAAGTCACCTGCCCGAACTCAAGGAGGGAACTGAGAGAGGAGGGGCTTCTGACTCCCCAGGACACAAAGGGAGGCACTAAACGGAGGTACAGTAGCCTCCCCTGGGCCCAGTGCCCACGATGGAGGCTCGGGAGGTTTCTGGACCCCAGCTCCCTGCAGAGGCCCGGCATCCCGGAAAGAGTGAGCCGCCCCTCCCTAATTCCTGGGGTCATATTTATTACACTCCAGCTAATCCTTCTAGCAGTTGGCAGAAGCCAGGGGTGGCCCATCCAGAGGTCTGCAGGAGGTCTGTAAATTCCCCACTTCCTTTACAGGGCCAAGTCCCTCCAAATGACACTTTCTGGCCCCCGAGGTCCGTGGACATGAACACCCCCCCCCCATTCCCTAAGAGAGGCTCTTGGGGGAAGAAGACCCTGCCCCCAAAGCCAAGATTCAGAGAAAACCCCTTGGCAAGAGGATGTTATTGGAAATTTTAAGTAAGATTTAAGTAAGACCTATCCGCCCCTTCCCCCTCTCACCCCCTCACTCCTCCCTACCCCCGCTCCCTCCCTTTCCCTCCCGCGGAGAGACTGCCTTCCTGGGCTAGTGCTGGAGCCCTCTCCAGTCTGGGAGGGGCCATGTTCTCCATCCCCTTCATTGCCCTGCCCTCCTGCACAAATCACTTTGGCAGGATTACTATAATATCCAGTTTCCTTGCTCTCTTTGGCCACCCTCAAGTCCAACCCACCCCCCACCTCCACCTGCCACCAGAGAGCCAGAATATTATTTTAAAGATTTTATTTACTTATTTATTTGACAGAGACACAGCAAGAGAGGGAACACAAGCAGGGGGAGTGGGAGAGGACGAAGCAGGCTTCCCTCACGGAGCAGGGAGCCGATGCGGGGCTGGATCCCAGGGATCATGACCAGAGCCGAAGGCAGACACTCAATGACTGAGCCACCCAGGCTCCCCCAGAATATTAATTTTAAATACAATCCGGTGGGGTGTCTGGCTGGCTCAGTCAGTAGAGCACGCAGCCCTTAATCTCAGGATCATGAGTTCAAACCCTACAGTCAGTATGAAACCTACTTAAAATATAAAGAAATAAAGAAATGCAATCTGAGCACACTATGCCTATTTATGGTTTACAGATCACAGGCATGGCCTTCAAGGCCCTGCATGACTGATTCCTGTCCGGGAGCGCTGCTGTTTGGCTTTGCCCCCCCTGACCAATTCAGCAAACAGAAGCAGGACTCCTGAGCTACAGTACTTGATGCCAGAGGGCCATGTCCTGGGAGGTTGGCCCAGCCAACTGATTGATGGCCATGCCTATAGTCACATGTGGGATGCCTGCTGATCCCTATGCTGTCGAACAAATCACTTTCTCTGAGAATTAGAAGAGTGGAGGGCATCTGTTAATTTCACTCTTGGCAACCATCATGGGGAAGCTGACCCACAGGGCCTCAGAAGAGGGCTTGTCTTTCTGACAGAGACCAAGACCAGGGCCAAGACAGGTCAAATAAATCACACATCCGAGCTAGAAGAGTAGGCTCAGGCTTAGCCCAGGTTTATTTCCCAAACTGAAAATGAAATGCAGTGATTAAAGGAGATGAGATCTGGCTATTCCATTCTCACTGTGGCTTTTAGGCAGCTGTGCAAGATAGTGTGGGTGTAGGGGTCTAACCAGGGGAGCATAGGTGCAGGGGCACTCGGGCAAATCACTACAGCCCTCTGAGCCTGCCTCCCATGGGACATTGGAAATGAAGGTGCTTTGTGAACTGCCAAGGGCAAAGTGCAGGGACGGGGCTTCCTGGCTCAACCAATCATGGCCAGTACCGCAGGCATCAGCTTCTGCTTTACAGTGGGGTCTGCAGGTGGGGACTCCTTGGCCTTCATGATGACCTCATGGGCCTCCTGGAAGAGATCCTCTCCCACTGCTGCCTCCACACGCTGGCGCCATGCAGCCAGCTTGGGTCGACCTTCGAAGAATTGGCAGCCAGCACCCACAGGCTGCAGGGAGAAAGGAAACAGGATGGGGGTGGAAGGTAAGGTCAAGGATGGCAGCCTCTGCCTGGTTTGGGGGTCCCAGAGCCCCAGAAGAGGTTTCCACACATAAGCATGGCCCATAGCCAGGTGGGGGCAGTGTGAGCAAGACTTCAGCGACTACCCAGGGCCCTCCCCGCCTAGCAAGCCACCCTATCCATAGCACTCACATGCATCAGCTCTGTGATGGCTACCAGATCAGCCAGTGAGATGTGGGGCCCGATGAGAAAAGCCTTGTTCTGGAGGAACTTGTCCTCAAGCAACTGCACGGTCACATCCAACTCGGCTAGCGTGGCTGCCAGCATCTCAGGAGACACTGGCTCACCCAGGAAAACAGGGAACATCACCTGGGAGGCGGGGAGGCACAGTAAACGTTAGAGGCCAGCCCAGCCTCAGGGGCAGGAAGGCAAGTGTGCCTCCCCCACCCCAGTTTGAGCTGCTTTCTGGTTCTATGCCCCTGTCTTCGAAGGCTGGGCGGGGCCTGCAGGGAAATTCCCAAAGGACCACTGTTTCCAGAAATATCCCAGAAATATTCCTGCTTCTGTGATCTCTGATGGCTGAGCCTCAGAGGGCATCTGACAGGACTCAAACCCCTTTGAGAATGACTCAAACCCCTTTGAGAATGACTCAGGGGGGAGTTGAACAATGAGTTTCATACTTTGGAAGTAGGCGGCTAGCCTAGGGACAGTCTATGTTATAACCTCTTTCCCCTGAATGTAAAGTCAGTACCACTTACTGGATAAATAATTAGGATTGGCTTACAAGGTTTCCACTCTGCCACTTACAAAGCATGTGGCCTAAAATAAAACACCTAAACCCTCTGAGCCTCAATTTCCTCATTTATATTATAGGAATAATAGTACATGACTCTCTTATAAATGGAAAAGTGGACAGTCAGTGAGAGGGACAGTCAGTTGCCTGAGATGGCACAGCCAAGAAAAGACTAAGCCAAGAGTAGAATGGACATTTTCTGACAGCAAGCTACCAGGAACTAAGGAGGAGGGCTAGGAAAGGGTAGTGTCCAGGATCTGGGAGGAAGGTGTTTTAGGGGGAAGCATCAACAGCATCATGGCTGACAGAGCTATAGGGAGATACAGTGGATGAGAAGCAAGAGAAGAATGCTTCATGCTTCATTTCATTAAGTTGCTTGGGGGAGCCTGGAACTCAGGTCAACATGACTAGGATTGTACATGAGCCCTGGCTTCGGGCTTCAGTTTCCTCCCCCATAAAAGGTAGACAGAATCAGCAGTCTCTCACTGGTGCCCTGGAGGCCAGCCCTGAGCTAATGGCATTCCTTTGACTACAGAGTTTTTTAAAAATATGGATCAGGGGGCGCCTGGGTGTCTCAGTCAGTTAAATGTCCAACTCTTTCTTTTTAAAAAAATTTTTTTTGTTTTTTGTTTTTTTTTAATTTGACAGAGATCACAAGTAGTCAGAGAGGCAGGCACAGAGAGAGGGGGAAGCAGGCTCCCTGCCGAGCAGAGAGCCTGATATGGGGCTCGATCCCAGGACCCTGAGATCATGACCTGAGCCGAAAGCAGAGGTTTTAGCCCACTGAGCCACCCAGGCGCCCCTAAATGTCCAACTCTTGATCTCAGCTTCGGTCATCATCATAGGATCATGGGACTGAGCCCCACATCAGGCTGCACATTAGGCATGGAGATTGCTTAGGATTCTCTCTCTCTCTATGCATCCCTCCCCTCCCCCACTCTCTCTCTCTCTCTAAAAGAAATAAAAACAAAAATTAAAATTAAAATATGTATCAGTTGCTGACATTTAAAATGGGGGCATTTCATATATAAGAGTCCAGATTTCCAGCTTTATTTTTTGTTTAAGATTTTACTTATTTGAGACAGACAAAGAGCAAGCACAAGTGGGTAGAGGGGCAGCGAGGAAGCAGACTCCCTGCTGAGCAGGGAGCCCAACGCAGGGCTTTATCCCAATCCCAGGATCCTGGGATCATGACCTGAGCCAAAGGCAGAGGTTTAACCAACAGCCAGTCAGGTGCCCCTCTAGCTTCTTCTCCATATAAAGGGTGCTGGCCACAGGGTATGCCTGCTCAGTATCTAAGGCTGATGCTGGGGAGAAGCCACTGCGTCGGAGGGCACAATGAACTCTCAATTTGCACAACCCCAGCTAGCCCTCCTCCCTCATTTTTTCTTGGCCTCACCCCTGCCAGAGATTATCTACCATTTCCCTTCTGTTTCAATTTGGTTGATCCAAAATTCGCAGGGTTTGGAAGAGTGGTTTTGTTCCTCTTTAAATATAACAGATCATACTAGGGTAATAAGTACGTTGCAATTTATTTATATAATGAATTACTGTAGTTAAAATGGATAAATTAGATCCACCCACAGCAATATAGAAAAATGCACAGGGGCGCCTGGGTGGCTCAGTGGGTTAAGCCTCTGCCTTCGGCTCAGGTCATGATCCCAGGGTCCTGGGATCGAGCCCCACGTCAGGATCTCTGCTCAGTGGGGAGCCTGCTTCCTCCTCTCTCTCTGCCTGCCTCTCTGCCTACTTGTGATCTCTGTCAAATAAATAAAAAAATAAAATCTTTAAAAAAAATGCACAATGCAGAGTGATATGAGAGCATTTATATAAAATTTTAAACATGCAAAGCAAAACTTTATTTTGCTTATAATGACAACTAAGTGCAATAATGTGTAAAATCATAAACTGGAAGGACTCCCACCGGACCCCAGAGCAGAACGGCCTCTCAGAAAGGAGTGAGGGCAAGGGAGAGGTCTTTTGAACGTTTGTCCTCTGTTTCTGTTTTATATAAGAAATGATAGGAAACAGAGAAATAAAGCTCATAACCCACAATTAGCAATACACTTTATTGTTTTTTTTTAAGATTTTATTTATTTGAGAGAGAGAGAGAGAGTATGAGGCGGGGGAAGGAGAGGGAGAAGCAGACTGCCCGCTGAGCAGGGAGCATGATGTAGGGCTCAATCTCAGGACCCTGGGATCATGACCTGAGCCAAAGGCAGATGCTTAACCGACTGAGCCACCCAGGCGCCCCTCTCCATACACTTTAAAAAATGAGGAATCCTGCTTCTGATTAGGACATCAATGTCACAAAAACCATAGTTCCCATCATAACAATGGTGGAAAGAAAATAATCTTATCTTTCCTTAAAGCCATCAAAGAGTTATAGAACTTTTAAAAATAGAAAATAAAAGACAAAAAAATGAAAAAGAAAAAAAGCCTAAACCTATGTTGTCTGATATGGTAGCTGCTAGTGAACTCTTAAAATATGGCTAGTCCTAGCTGAGTTGTGAGGTATACGCATAACACACATGGGATTCTGAAGACTTAGTATAAGAAAAGAATGCAAAATAGTGCATTAATGATTTTTCTACCAATTACATGTTAACTATAAATTTTTTATTTTTAATTGTGGTAAGAAATGCATAATAAAATTTCCCATCTTAACCATTTTTAAGTGTATAGTTTCATGGCACTAAGCACATTCACACTCTTGTACAACCATCACTGCTGAGATCGTCTAGGGAAAGCAAGAGGGACTTACTTAATTCCTGTGAAAGTCCCTGGTCTGAGACAAGGGTTAAAAGTTTCCATAAGCTGGGGCACCTGGGTGGCTCAGTGGGTTAAGCCTCTGCCTTCGGCTCAGGTCATGATCTCAGGGTCCTCAGCAGGGAACCTGCCTCCCTTCTCTCTGCCTGCCTCTCTTCCTATTGTGAACTCTCTCTCTCTGTCAAATAAATAAATAAAATCTTTTTTTAAAATGGCCATAAGTTTAGAGACAAACACCTTCTTCTGGGAAAGAGAATGAATGGTTGTCTGGGCAAAATTAGAAGTAACAATTTAAAGCCTGCTTGCACAAGTATTTCTATTTTCCAGGAGCCCTAAAAGAATGTCGACCATGAAGAAAAGCATCTTGTGATTGTCTTGTGTCCACTAAAAAGTGACGCCCACTAGATAATGACCATGGGACTGAAGGATGCTTCACCACTTCCAGCCCTTCACCCTTTGGAAAAGGGCCTTTCTAAGCCTCCTACCATAGGGAGGGTGTAGCGACATTCCTCTTTCTTGCTGGCCCCCTTTTATACAAGCTATCTCTAATAAACTCCACCTGTTTTCTTTCTCTGAAGTTCCATGTTCATTTCTGTGACTCAGGAACCTAGACTCAGGGGTCGGGTAAGAGCACCATCCATCTCCAGAACTCATTCATCATCCCAAACTGAAACTCTGTCCCCATTAAACGACAACTTCCCATTCCCTCCTCCCCTGACCCCTCGCAGCCATCCTTCTACTTTTTTGTCTTTATGAACAGAATAGGAATTTCATATAACTGGAACCATAAAGGGGCTGGCTCAGACGGAAGAGCATGTGACTTTTTTTTTTTTCTTTAAGATTTTATTTATTTTTTTGACACATAGAGGGGGAGAGAGAGAGAGCAAGAGAACACAAGCAGGGGGACTGGCAGTCAGAGAGAAGGGGAGAAGGCGGCTCCCTGCTGAGCAAGTGGCTTAATCCCAGGACCCCGGGGATCATGACTGAGCCACCCATATGCCTCTCTACCTTTTGTTGAACATAATGTCTAGCATACCATAAGACATGCAAAAAAAAGAAGACAATGTGACCCATAATCAGGAGGATAAAAAATGGCCAACAGAAATAGACCCACAGGGGACAAAATTATGAAAATTAGCTGCAAAGACTTTAAAGTAACTATTATAAATATGTCCAAGAATTTAGAAGAAAAGATGGACTAAATGGGTAAACAGATGGTGCATTTCAGCACAGAAAAGGAGATTTAAAAAAGAAGCAAATGGAATTTCTAGAACTGAAAAATTCATGTTGTTACAGAACCTGGATTGGGTCCTGACAGAAGAACCATCGGGTGATCTTTTGGAAACTTTGGAGGATCAGAGTTTATTTAACACCTGCTGGCTCAGAGGAGAGTGATCTCCAAAGGTCTGAGCCCCGAGCACAGACAAAAGGGGTAATTTATACCCTTCTATTTCTGCATACTTGGTACTTTTGGCGCATGCATGGAAGCAGGGCAGAGAGAAGAACCGGAAGAGCCCCGGGCCAGTGGCTGGGACTCCTTTGCTGACTCAGCTGACCACCTTCGAACACAGATTTTCCCTTACCAAAATCTCAAATGAAGACTGTATTAGATGGGTTTAATAGCAACGTGGGCCCAACAGAAGAAAGAATTATCGAGTCAAAGTTAGGTCAACAGAGACTATCCAAATGGAAAAGAATGCGAGGGTGCTTTCGCCCCTTTGGGGCGATGCCCTCGGCCTCACCTTGTGCCACAGGGTCCGGAGGCAGCTTCTCCGCAGGGTTGTGTGCTGCCATGCCAGATACTCATCCACAAGGGCGCGGGCCTGTACATCTTGGGGGTACCAGTGGTCAGGGACTTTATACTTCCGGGTCAGGTAGAGCAGGATGGCCACACTGAAGGGGAGGGAGGACATGATGGGTGAAGGAAAGACTCTAGGCTAGGGGCTTAATCAAATTCCCTTCTTTAATATTCCTGACAATAAGCCAAGGTCTTTGCCTCATTCTCCAGAGAAGGAAGTCAGGCTTAGAACACTGATGGGACTTGCCCTGGGCACAGAGCCGTTGGTGGCAGGGCTAAGAGTCTTTCTGAGACTAACACCCAAGCTCATCCTAGCACCGGGCAAAAGCCCATAGCAGAGTATCCTGCCAAGAGTACCCTGTTCAGAGTCAGTCTCTGATCAGAGGGCCAGAGGGCTTCCTGGAGGAGATGCCATCAAAGCTAACCCTTAAAGCTCAGTTCTTTCCAGTCTACGTCCATTCTCATCCTCTGGCACCCATACCAGCCTCAGATGGCCTGACTGCTCAAAAAGGCTTTCCAGTTGTTCCTTTGTCCTCCCTAAAGCACCCTGTAGGAAACACTGGGGCTGCTGCAGGATCATGGAACAGCAGAACAGACCAGGCGCCTGGAGCTCTCCTCCTGCCCTAGGTCATGAGGGCTACCATGGTGTTGGGACAGGCATGGATCTGGAAGGGCCCTGAGATACATGAATTTGGAGCCATAAGAAAGCTTTCAGGAACTTGGGTTACTCCAAGGGTTGTGCACCCCAGCCAGTAAGGGCAGAAAACCTCCGTTCCCTATTAGGAATCCTGTATGCACGTCTTGGCTTAACAACTCACTTGTCTGTACAGGATATTCTGGAGCTCTTTTTCCTCCCAGCTAATTGTTCAAACCACCTCTGGGGACAGCTGCAGGTCCCTGGGAGTCACAGACCTCCTGACGGTGAGAAAAGACACAGAGAAATGCAGAAATCACACGATGCCCCCGGCAAGCACCATGGTTGCTCAACATTGGGTGACACAAGGACCCAAGACAGCAGAGAGCAGCAGAAAGAAGAAAATGACACTGACATAATGTCAGGAATTCTCGGGGGGAATGCATCCATCTCACGATTCCAGAGATAAGTTCAAAAGCTTCAAGTTCTCCTTGTTATGGGAGGGGTGACATAGGTGATAAAAGCAGCAGAGTGGGGGCGGGGGGTGGGTGGGTGGGTGTGAACTTCCCTAAAGAGGTTTCCACTTCTTGGGGTATGTTGGGATGTAAAACACCCACATGCCTCACAGTCCTCCCTTGGGGGAGACCCACCCAAGGAGGCTGCAGCCCAGACTTGGAGTCACTGGGTAGACCAGAGGCCCATGGGCCACCTCAAGCCAGAGCGCCATCCCTTCCCTGTCCTATGCCCCTGCCCTGGGGTACTCTCACCAACAAACACAGGATGGGTACAGAAGTTAAATATGCTTACTTGTCCAAGCATTCCCGTGAACTGGACCAGCATGTAGGCCTGGGTCCGGGTTCCAACCCTGACTCTCTGTGGGATGTTAGGCTAAGGACCCTTCACCTCTGAGGAGTTTAGTTTTTTTGTCTCTAAAATAGAGGGTTAAAGGGCGCCTGGGCTGCTCAGTCAGTTAAGCGGCTGACTCTTGGTTTCGGCTCAGGTCATGATCTCAGGGTCCTGGAATCTAGCCCTGTGTGGGGCTCTGAGCTCTGTGGGGAGTCTGCTCGTGGACTCTCTCTCTCCCTCTCCCTCTGCCCCTCACTCTGCTCACTTAAGTTCTCTCTCTTTAACATAAATAAGTAAATAAAATAAAATAAAATAAGTAAATAAAATAAAGGGACCAGATGGTTCCAGTGAGTTCTGGTGGCAGTTCCGGTGTCCCAGTTACCTCTCAGCCAAGGTGAAGTCTCCATCCTTCAAAGCAGGCACCTTCTTCAGGGGGTTCACCCAGGCAAAGGCATCGCTGAGGTGCTGGCCTGCAGAGAGCCCATCATGGTGGGTGAAGAAGGAAACACTGAGCCCTACAAGGCCTGTGCCCACTCCCTACTAAACCCAGGCCCCAATTCCATGGTTCTTCTCCAGCCCCCAGGTGCTCTCCTGCATGGCAAAGGCTAGTGAGGGCCACTTGGGTAGGGACAGGACACTATTCTGCCAAATGTTGCAAAATGGACCTCAAGAGCCCCAGCCATGCCAAGTCCTATTGGGCACAAGCTCCACCCACAGCCCAAGGGGCAAGATGTGATGCTTCAGCTGGGCCTTCACATGCACCCCACCCACCACCTCTACACCATCCCTGGCCTCATAAGTTCACATTCAGGATGCTCCAGTCTGCCAGAGTGAGGTGGCTAGTTACGTGAATGGAGCTCTGATTCCTTATAGTGGCCCTTTCCCTGTGGACTCTAAGGTAAGGTCACTAAACACAGAGAAGTGGCTTTCTCCCAGTATCTATTTACTTGCAAACAACTTCTACCAGCTCCTCTGTGTCCCCTTGTTCACCCTGCCCTAAGCCACTAGGCTAGGGCTGGCCCTGCCTTTAGGTTCTGCTGGAGCTGGAACAGTCACACTTTTGTCCCACCCACAACCCCCAAAAGATGCAGCCTCATGTCCCCTGGGCCCCTGGCCTCTGCTTGAGTTTGTGTGAGTGGCTCCTACTCCTGCAGATGCTGTCAGAGAGAAGCTTCTAAAGAGCATGTAAGCTTATCATCCACCATCCTGCTCAACAGTCTTCAGGGGCTCCCCATTACCCCAGGATCAGGCGGAAGCTCCTCGAAGCCATACATGATTGCCTTAACACTCTAGCCTCAACACACCCACTGTCCTCCCTTCTCGCTCCCTTCACACTGTGACTTCACTAGACACACCTGCCCTGCTCTCCTAGTGAAACCCACCGCTCTGCACCCTTTATTTAACAGCCTGTTTGGGATGTTCCTTCCATGCCCTGTCCCCTGTACACAGCAGAGATGACCCCTGGGGAGGACAAGTGGGAAATCCCCCCAGCAGACTGGAAGAAGATGAAGATTTGGGCAGAGGGACAGGCCAGTTCAAAGGCATGAAGGCAGGCAAGGGCGTGAGTGGTAAAGTGATGGGGGTGGGGGTGGGGGGTAGGTGTTGGAGGCTCAGCCAAGCAGAGTTACCCCATCTGCCCACCAAGCAATACCTCCATTCTGCTTCCCTCAGCTGTGTCCTTGGAGCCTTGGGAGCCTACCAGAGACACAAGCCCTCCAGCTCAGGAGTGCAAGGCTCAACATGTTCCCGCAGTCTCCCAGCAGTCTCCCTTCAAGCCCCCAGCATGGCTCCCGCCAGCATGGTGGGGGGAGCCCTCCCAGCAGGCACAAGAAGTCAGAGAACAAGGGAAAGCAGAAGGCAACGCCCAAGAAGTAGGGACAGAAGGGGGCCCCCAATGCAGATGGGGCCGATGCATAGCGCAGGGCTGGAACGTGGGGACCCTGGTGACTGGCCGTTGCAGAGTTTTGGCAGTTGGGGGCCACAAAGGAGGGACTGGGCTCTGCCCCAGTCTCTATGCTCGGCCCCCTAACCCCTCGCCTCCTGCCCCCATCTCTTTTCTGGAGCTCCTCTCTCCCTCTGTCCAGGTGCACCCTGTTTTCCTTCACCGGGTCTCTCTTTTTCCTCAAGCTGCCCCCCCCCACCCGCGCCCTTCACTCGTTCACTCCGCCTCGGCCGCGCCCCATCGTCTATCCCGCGGGACCGAGCCCAGTTTGGGGGATTGATTACCCGACTCTCTCGGATCTCCCCAGTGGCTCACCTTTTTCAGCAATGGCCCCAAGAAGAGGTGGGCGCCGGGCGTCCTCTTAAGCAAGATTTGGCCTCCCCGTTCCTCCCCGATCTCTCGGTTCCCAAACCCAAGCCTGGGTCCACCTTTGAGCAGGTCCACCGGGCGCAGCTCGAAGGGAATGCGGTTCTTCTTGGCAAAGATGTAGACGGCGCGGCAGGGCTAGGACAGCAAGTCCAGGTAAAGCTCCAGCCCCATGGCGGCCAGACCGACACACCCGAGCGCAGCCAGGAACACACACTGTCCTGGGGCCACGCCCCACCAGCCTCCACTCCCGGTTGGGTGGCTCCGGGCACCCACTCCGGGCTCCGGGCTCCCGGCTCCGGGCTCCGGGCTCCGGGCACCGGGCTCCGGGCACCGGGACTTTGGTCCAAACGCTGGAGCGGCCAAGGGCGTGTCTGAGGGGTGGGGACCAAGAGCGCGGAGCAGAGCAGGGGGGGCGGTGACGCGTAGGTCTCCCCTCCAAGGGTCCCGCGGAGGTCCCTAGTCCTTCGTGACAACCTTATTTCACTTACCATGCTGTCTTCAAGGTTCATCCACGTTGTCGCTGTCAGAATTTCCTATCATCTCCATTTTAGAGATGTCGAGATTGAGGCAGTAAGTGATCATGGACCCAGGAAGTCTGGCAACAGAGTCCATGTTCCCAAGAACACTCCAGAGATCGTGATACCTGAGCGGACCTTGAGGGCAGTATGCTGAGTGAGATAGGTCCAAGAGGGAAAGACAAATACGGTGTAATCACACTTATTTATGAAATCTAAAAAAAAAGCCAAACTCATAGAGACCAAGTAGAATGGTAGTTACCAAAGACTGGGAGGTGGGGAAACTGGAAAAATGAGTAAGGGTACAAACTTGCAACAAGAGATAAATAATTTGTGGAGATCTATCACAACATAATGATTATTGGTCAACAACATTAGTTATCAACAATATTGACAACAACTGTAGTACAATTTCAAAGTTGCTAAGAAGCTAATCTTAATTATTCTCCCTACAAAAAAAGAAATGGTAATTAGGTGACATAATAGACTGTTAGCTCATGTTACAATGTATAAATGTATCAAATCAACAGGCTGTACACCTCAAACTTCCACAGTGTCAATTATTTCTCAACAATAAATAGGTAGATAGATAGATAGATAAAATAATGGGGAGGCTAGAGAGCTACAGGGCCTTTACAAGTCATCATGCCCGGATTCACCTGCTAAGCCCTAATTTCAGGCCTGTGCCTTATGGCCCGGGTATCCCCCAAAGCATGCCACCTCGCTGGTGAAATGCCATCGGTGTCATTTCCTAACATAAGTCCAACTGAAAATGCATCCACAAGAACATAATGTTTTCTACACAGTAAGAAAGCTCTTTGCAAAGAAAGCAAATGTTGGTAATAATGATTCTCAACTGAAAAAAAAAAAATTAAGGAAGGACAAAAACTTCAGATATCAGATGTTGAAGTTTGAAAAAGGGGCTAGACCCTCAGAGGAGGTCAGTTACTTGATCCCCACTTCCTGCTGACCCCCAGGAGGAGGGCATTCCCCCAGGAGGAGCTGGGCAAGGTCCTGTCTAGGGCTCAGCCTCAATCTTGAAGCCTCAAAACCTAATTTGGTCCATATTCCAGGATTAATCTTTTTCTTAGGATCTGAGTCACATAACTCAACTCACAAGAGAATGAGGGATTTATTATTTTATGGAAAAAGAGATCAAGGCCCTTTAGACAGAATGCTCCCAACCAGCGCTCAGAGCAGTCTCGGAAGTGCAATCTCCCAGCAAACCTGGGGAGGCAGAGTAAGGATGAAACAAGCCAGACCACCTGCAAGGCAGCTTCCACCTGAGAGCTTTAGAGAGTTAGAAAGACCATCTGTATTCATTAATTATTGCTACATAACAAATTACCATGAACTTAATGGCTTAAAACAACACATATTTATTATCTTACACTTTTTGTGGATCAGAGGTATGGGCCTGGGTTCACTGGGTCCTCAGGAAGGCTGCAATCCAAGTGCCAGCCAAGACTGGGTTTTTATCTAAGGCTCAAATGGGGAAGGATCCACTTCCAAGTTCACTCGGGTTTTTGGCCAAATTCATTTCCTTGCCGTGATAGGACTGAGGGTCCTGGCTTCCTGCTGGCCATTCTCAGCTCCTTGCCCCAGGGACCTCCTAACATGGTTGCTCAGTTCTTCAAAGCCAGCAAGGGAGAGAGCCTGTAGAACCAGTCTGCTAGCAAGATAGAGTCTTGTATAATGAAACATAATCTCAGAAGTGACATTCCATCACCTTTGTCACTTTCTGTGACTCAGAAGCAAGTCATGGGCCCTGGACACACTTGAGGGGAAGGAATTATAAAAAGATATGAATATCATCTAAGATCATTGGGGGGGTCGGTTCTTTTTTTTGAAAGATTTATGTATTTATTTGACACAGTGAGTGAGAGAGCACAAGCAGGGGGTAACAGTAGAAGGAAAGGGAGAAACGGGCTCCCCACTGAGCAGGGAGCCCAGTGCGGGACTCGATCCCAGGACCCTGAGATCATGACTTGAGCCGAAGGCAGACACTTCACCAACTGAGCCACCCAGGCGCCCCGGGGGATCAGTTGAGAGTCTGTCTGCCACACCTTCCAAGGCTTCATAGGTTTGCATCCTGTGCAACTGCCTGGTCCCCCCACCCACAGATAAATGGGTCCCACAGTTGCTTTAATGCTTTGCTCTTGCCATCTTCAATTTCTTAATAATCTTTGATCAAGGTGCCTCTCACTTTCATTTGTAGCCAGTCCTGGCCAAAGGGTCCAAAGAGCTCAGGAAGCCAGATAGGGCATTGCTCCAGGCAGTGACAGGAGCGCCTGGTGACAGGAAGGCCAGTTGCTCTCCTGGGGCATCCTACCTTCTTGACATTTAAACCACTACCATCTTTGGCAAGGAACATAGGTGCATTTAAATATCTTAAGGGAAAAAAAAGCTTTCGCATTGAAGAGTTTACATGATTTAGGTACTTGTTACTCACATTGTGGCCCTTAGAGCAGCAGGAACAGCCTTGACCATGAGCTTGTTAGAAATTGTTGACCTTCAAAATAGAAGTTCTTTTACTAACAAAAATTGGTTTATTCTTGAATAGCAGAGAACTGCAACTCAGGACGTGCAAGCTAGGGCAAAAACTACAGGCAAATCCTGCAAATGATAGGGAGGAACAGTATTTTACTAAGAAGGAAGATGTTGAGAGGGGTTGTTTTGAACGAGAGTCCAATAGAGAAAAACAAGAATTCAGGGTGGTCAGGGTCTCATTGGCTGTGTTACTGGGGTAATGGATTTCTTCCCTTCTTTTTATTTGAGAGAGAGTGACAGAGATAGCAAGAGCACGAGCAGGGAGGAGAGGGAGAAGCCGGTTCCCCGCTGAGCAAGGATCCCAAAGCAGGGCTCGATCCCAGGACCCCAGGATCACGACCTGAGCTAAAGGCAGACGATTAACTGACTGAGACCCCAGGTGCCCCTGGGATAATGAATTTCTTATAGGAGCAATACTGGACATCTTTTCCTGTTGAGGTCTGTAATTGACAATTCTCCCTATAATTGACATCAAGTGTGATGGCATGTGAAGTCCCCCCTCTGGCCTCCAGATTCCATTTTAGTGATGTTAGGAGACATAGATAGATATTCCATTACAGATATATAGATATTCCATTATAAATATAGTATTATGGAATATATATACACACATACACATACACACACAGATTATTATTCAGCCTTAAAGAGAAGATAATCTTGGGGCACCTGGCTGACTCAGTCAGTAAAGCATGCAACTCTTGATGTAAACTCGATTTCCACACTGGCGTAGAGATGACTTAAAATAAAATCTTTAAAAAAAAAAAAAAGGTGATCTTGTCATTTGAAACAAGGATGAACCTGGAGGTCACTATGCTAAGTAAAACAAACTAGACACAGATAGACGAATACTGCATAATCTCATGTGGAATTAAAAAAAAAAAAAAAAGGAAAAGAAACCCTTAGAAGCAGAGACTAGATGATTACCAAGGGATGGGGGGATGGGGAGCTGTTGATCAAAGGGCACAAAGTTTTAGATATGCAGGATGAATAAGTTCCAGGGATCTAATGTACAGCATGGTGACTGTAGTTAACAGTACTGGATGGTACATTTGACATTTGCTAACAGGGTACACCCCCTTTGTTCTCAACCACAATGACAAAATGGCTACTATGTGAGATGGCGGATATGTTAGTTAGCTTGATTGTGGTCATCATTTCACAATGTATGTGTATATGAAAACATCACGCTGTACGCTTAAAATACATACAATTTTTTTAAAAGATTTTATTTATTTATTTGAAAGAGAGAGACACAGCTAGGGAGGGAACACAAGCAAGGGGAGTGGGAGAGGGAGAAGCAGGCTTCCCGCGGAGCAGAGCCCGATGTGGGACTCTATCCCAGGACTCTGGGATCATGAGCTGAGCTGAAGGCAGACACTTAACGACTGAGCCACCCAGGCGCCCAATACATACAATTTTTATTCATCAATTGTTCCTCAATAAAGCTAGGAAAATAAAGAAACCGGGGAGTAGGGCAGAATTGCACTGACGTCATGCTATCAGACAGTTTTAATTTCCCACGTAGCTCTGTGAGGGAGGGTACTAGGTCTGGTCTGTCCCTCTGTTGACCCTGAACATCCTTTTATGTTCCTGATAGGGGCGGGGGAGCAACTTTCAGTCTTTCACCACCAAGTGTGTTGTTAGCTGTAAGTTTTTCATAGATGCCCTTTATCAAATTAAGGAAGTTCCCTTCTACTCTTTGTTTTTTGAGAAATTCTATCTTGAGAGGGTGTTGGATTTCATCAAATGCTGTTTCTGCATCTATTAAGATAATCATGGGATTTTTGTTCTTTATTCTATTACCATTGTGTGTTATATTAATTGATTTTCCTATGTTGAACCACTCTTGCGTTCCTGGTCACGATGTATAATCCTTTTAATATGCCGTGGATATGATTTGCTGGTATTTTGTTGAGAATTTTTGCACCTGCATTTAGAAGGGATGTTGCCATGTAATTTTATTTTCTTGTGCTCTTTTTCTTAGCTTTGATCTCAGGGTCATACTGGCTTCCCAGTGTAATAGCACTCCAATCAGTCTTCAAGCGTATGCACTCCTTGGTTGCTGACCTAAATTCCTTGATCTGTAGCAGAACTTTCCTTGAAATTTGCAGACCACTGGCCATGAGGAGTGAAGGAGCAAACTCTCCTGAAAGATAAAGCCTGACTACACTCAAAAACAGCTGCCAGTGATGCCAGCAAGTTTGTTCAGGTTCATGTCCACATAAGACTTGCCATCTGGGTGCCTGTGTCACCTCCATGTAACCCCCCTCCCTCTTCCCCTGCCTTCCCATTTAAAACCCTGTGGCTTCACTTGGATGGGGAAAATGTTCTTTGAGATGTTTGTCCACCATCTTCTCAGGTTCCCGGCTTCCTGAATAAAGCAACATCTCCTTTCCCACCATCATTTGTGTCTCAAGTATTGATTTTCAAGCTGCCAGAAGGAAAACCTGAGTTCAGAACCGATTCTCCACCTGGAAACAACAGAATCAGATGGGAAATGTTTCTTCTTTTTCTTCTTCTTCTTCTTCTTCGTTTTGTTTTTTTTTTTTTTGAAGAGTTTGTGAAGGCTTAGTGTTTGTTCTTTTTTTTTTTTTAAGATTTTTATTTATTTGAGAGCATGAGGAGGGAACGGGATGAGGGGCAGAGGGAGAAGGAGAAGCAGACTCCCACTGAGCAGGGAGTTCCCTGTGGATTCGATCCCAGGACCCTGGGATCATAACCTGAGCCAAAGGCAGACGCTTAACCAACTGAACCACCCAAGTGCCCCTGTGTTTTTGTTTCTGTGTGTTAGAGGTATTTTCTAACTTCTCTGTGGTTGTTTAAGAATATACTGTTTAATTTCCAGGTATTTGTGAACTTTCTAGTTTTCCTTCCGTTACTTTCTAATTTCACTCCATTATGTTCCAAGAACATACATGATATGACTTCAAACTGTTTAAATTCATTGAGATTTATTTTGTGACCTTACAGATGATCTATCCTGGAGAATATTCCATGTGCACTTGAGAAGAAATGTGTATTCCAGGGTGTCTGGCTGGTTCAGTCAGAAGAGCATGCAACTCTTGACCTTGGGGTTGTGAGTTTGAGCTCCACTTTGCGTGCAGAGATTACTTAAAAAAAAAAAAAAATTAAAAGAAAAAAATAAAGATTGCGTATTCTGTGGTCATTGTGTGAAGTGTTCTGTGTATATATCTAGTAGGTCCATTAGTTTACAGCATCATTCAAGTTCTCTACTTCCTTCACAATCTTTTATCTTGTTTCATTCATTATTGAGAATGGAGTATGGAATTCATCAACTATTATTATTGTTAATTTTAAAATATTTATTTTCTAAGTTGTATTAAATCCAGTTGATTTTTTTAAACATTTATATATTTATTTATTTGAGAGAGAGAGAATGTGTGAATGCAAATGCACATGAGTGGAGCGGGGGGAGAAAATCTCAAGCAGACCTTGCACTGAGGGCAGGACCTGATGCAGGGCTCAACTCACAACCCTGAGATCATGACCTGAGCAGAAATCAAGAGTGGGATGCCTAACTGACTGAGCGACCCAAGAGCCCCCAGTCTATTTTTTTTTTAAGTCAGCTCTATGCCCAATGTGGGGCTCAAACTCACGATCCTGAGATCAAGATTTGCTTGCTCGACCAACTGAACCAGCAGGGTGCCCTTAATTGTATTTAACTTTCAGTTTTTAAACTCTTTATGGAATCTGGGGGGACCCAAGACCACCACCCTCTCCCACACCGTACATACCCTGTGCTTACTCCAACTGTCCAGGCTCAGAAGCCATGGTGGTTGTTATAGTACTTTATTCAGCAAAGAAATGAGGTTGTTTTTAACACCTCCTCTAAGGAAGGAAGCTCAAAAGGGCTGAGCCAGCCGGGCGCTGCAGGATGGGCTGCTTCTACTTGAACTTCTGCAGCAACTCGCAGATCTTCTCCTTGACCATTGGATCCAGTGTTGAACAGTCCCACTCTGCCAACTTCATCAGCCGGTCATGGGCCTCCCAGAAGAGGCCAGAGCCAATAGCCAGCTCCACCCTCATGCGCCACTCAGCTATCTTGGAGCTACTGAGGAAGACGTTATACTGGCTTCCCATGGGCTGTAGACAGACGAAGAGGAAGGAGTGGTCAACCGGGAAGAGGAGGGCGAGGGGAGTGACCAGCCCCACCTGGGTCCCCTCACAGCCTCGGGGGGTCTCCCCATCAGCCTCCCACAAAGAGTGAGTCTGTGACCCACCCCACTCCCAGGCCTTGGCAAGAGGTCAGATGCTATGTAATAGACGTGGGGTGAGCATTGGAAGATCAGAATCTCCAGGGTTCTTGGCCACTGGTCTTGCTCCAAGGCTCCTGACTCCCTCTCTGAGGTGACACCTGGCCCAGATGTCTCCCACCTCTCCAGCATGAAACTTTCGATTGGTCCTGCCTTCTTCCAGGAAATCCCTTGTTCTCAGATGAGGGTGGGAAGAATTCAGGGTTTTTTCCTCCACATTGAGCCTTCCTCTGCAATCAGGCACAGGGCCTGGAATGGGAGACGCAGCAGGCAGTCTAAGAAACATGCACCCAAGCAGCTTGGGGGCCCCAAAATGGAGTGGGTGCAGGTGAAATGTAAGGGGTAGGATGTGAAATGTAGGGGACCGTGCCACCTGGGACAGAAAAACTGAAGTGGTTTTTCCTGGTGATGGTCTGCCCTGCACCCTGGCCAGGGACTAAAGGGGATACGTGGCATATTGGCCAGAGATTATGTGGGCCTCTCAAGACATCAGCCAGGGTCTAAATTGGCCATCCTGCACACCAGCTAGGTCAGAACTGGCCACCCTCCCCTGCAGGTAGAGACCACATAAATGCCCCACACCCAGGTATGTTATGCCCCCCAAATGCACAATGGATGCCCCTCAGACCAGAGCCGTGGGAGTTGCTTTGTATAGTTGTAAGTCTGGGGCTCTAGGAAAGAAGCACTCGGCCGGAAGGACGCTTTGGAGGCCTCTGTACACATTCTGGAGAGTCCAACGGGAAGAGAAGGCATCCAGGATTCTAGCTGACTCACTGAGAGATGCTGTATTCTTCTCTCGGTTGGGCCCGCCCTCCAGCCCCTCCCCATGCTGAAAAATCACTGTGAAGCATGGATAATCGTGGTCCTCCTTGGTTCAAAATCTGTGCTTCCTGTCACCCCTGGGTGGAGTCCAGGCACCCCAGCCCTGGCTCCCACAGTCCTCCACGTCTCCTCCTTTACCAGCCTATCCTCAAGCTATGGCCCCAGTAGTTACAGAGGAGTCTCACCTGTGCCCAGGCTCTGTGCCCCCACCAACCCCACTTCACACCTGCATCATCTCCACCAGGGCCACCAGGTCAGCCAGTGAGATGTGGTCCCCGGTGATGAACATCTTGTCCTGAAGAAACTTCTCCTCGAAGAGCTGCATGCTGTTCTTCACCTCGGCCAGCATCTGCTCTGTCTTCTCGGATGGAACCTCCTCGCCTGTGATCATTGGAATCAGCATCTGGCCAGGGTGGGGGAGGGGAGGGAAGAGGAGGCTGCCCTCTAGTTCCCATCTGACACTCTGGTCTTCAGCCTCCTTGTCTGCTGGAGAAATGTTGGGCAGAACCAAGAGCATAAAGTAGGTTCACCTCTTTTAGTGGCTCTGGTTGATAGAGGGCCATTGTTCAGGGGGATTTCGAGATCCCAGCAGGAAGTAATCCTGTGATTGATTAGTGATGTCCATCACAGGTATGAGATAAGAAGTAAGGGTACATATATGGGCTATTGGTCATCTTCAGATTTGGTGGTCCCTATGGGCCCTTGGACTCTGGGGTTTTCTCATTCAGAACGAAATTTCTGGAATCCTATCCCAGCTTGAGTAATGTCAACCCCTCCTGGGTGCCCTTCCCTTTGTTTTCACAAGACTTTTTCATACCCAGTGGTTCATTCCACACTCCCATCAGCTCTGTAAGGCAGGCAGGAGAGGGAGCCAAGGAAATGAGGCTCAGGAAGGCGGAGGGAGACTTGCTTGAACTCACTGGTGGTCAGCCCTAGCATTGGTCCCGCTCACCTTGATCCAGAGGATCTTGGTCATGGGCAGCTGAATGGCAGTGTGCTGCCAGGCCATGAACTCATCCACACGGGCACGTGTGTGCAGGTCTGGTGGGTACCAGTGCGAGGGTGTGCTGTACTTGCGGCACAGGTAGAAAAGGATGGCCACACTGTAGAAAGGGAAAGCCAGGGGCACTGCTCTTGCCTTCTCCAATCCCATTACACCCACCACCCAGTGCGATGCAGCCAGAGGTGGGCTGTAGGCACTGACATTCTCCTAGGGGAAGAATAAGCCTGAAGGCTGCCAAGAAATGCATTCGGTCCACCAGCGTGTGCTAGAGGAAGGCCAGCAGGGTGAATGGATGTTCACCATTCACTGGAGAAGGGAGGTCTCAATGGAGAACGATATGTACGGGAATTCAGGGGTAAGAGGTAGCAGTTTGGAGAAAAGGAAAAAGTGTGACCAGAAGAAGGATGGGGAGAATGGTCAGAGACTGGGAGGCCACCCAGGGAGGCCCTCGGAGATGTAGGAGGATATGGACTTGATCCTAAAGGTTATGGTTATGTAAGCAGGAGGGTGAGAAAATACACCTTGAACTTTAGAAAGATCCCTCTGTCCTACAACTCAATAGCAAGAAAACAAACCAACCAAAAAAGGGCAAAGAGCTGGAGGAGACATTTTTCCAGAGAAGACCTCCACATGGCCAACAGACACATGAAAAGAAGCTCTATGTCAATCATTAGCAGGGAAATGCAAGACAAAACCACCAGGAGATATCACCTCAGGCCCATGATAATGGCTGCCATCAAAAGGACAAAAAATAACACATGTTGGCAAGGCCTGTGGAGAAAAAGGAACCCTTCTGCACTGTCGGTGGGAATGCAAACTGGTGCAGCTGTTGTGGAAAACAATATGGAAGGTCCTAAATAGAACTACGGTATAATCCAACAACTCCATTTCTGGATATTTATCTGAAGGAAACAGAAACACTGTAAGAAAAAGATATCTGCACCCCCACGTTCACTGCGGCATTATTTAGAAGAACCAAGACACAGATGAATGAATGCACAGAGAATGTGTGATGTAAATATACAATGGGATGTTATTCACCCACAGAAAAGGAGGAAATCCTGCCATCTGTGACAACATGGAATGAACTTAAGGGGTTATGCTAAGTGAAATAGATCACACAGAGAAAAACACAGTGTGAGCTCATTTATATGTGGAATCTAAAAAAACAAACAAGCAAAAACAAAGCCATAAATACAGAGAACACATTGGTGGGGGGTTACAGGGGGATGAAATGGATGGAGGGAGTCAAAAGGTTCAGACTTGCAGCTATAAAATAAGTCACAGGGATGTAATTGTGACCCAAGTTAATAATACTGTATTGTAGGGGCGCCTGGGTGGCTCAGTCGTTAAGCATCCGCTTAACATCCAGCTCAGGTCTTAATCCCAGCGTCCTGGGATGTAGCCCCGAATTGGGATACCTGCTCCGAGGGAAGCCTGCTTCTCCCTCTCCCACTCTCCCTGCTTGTGTTCCTTCTCTCGCTGTGTCTCTCTGTCAAATAAATAAAATCTTTAAAAAATAATAATAATAAGTGATCCGAAGGGGCACGTGCACCCGAATGTTTATAGCAGCAATGTCTACAATAGCCAAACTATGGAAAGAACCTAGATGTCCATCAACAGATGAATGGATAAAGAAGATGTGGTATATATACACAATGGAATACTACGCAGCCGTCAAAAGAAATGAAATCTTGCCATTTGCGACGACGTGGATGGAACTAGAGGGTATCATGCTTAGCGAAATAAGTCAATCGGAGAAAGACAACTATCATATGATCTCCCTGATATGAGGGAGAGGAGATGCAACATGGGGGGTTAAGGGGGTAGGAGAAGAGTAAATGAAACAAGATGGGATTGGGAGGGAGACAAACCATAAGTGACTCTTAATCTCATAAAACAAACTGAGGGTTGATGGGGGGAGGGGGGTTGGGAGAGGAGGGGTGGGGTTATGGACATTGGGGAGGGTATGTGCTATGGTGAGTGCTGTGAAGTGTGTAAACCTGGCGATTCACAGACCTGTACCCCTGGGGATAAAAATATATTATATGTTTATAAAAAAATAAAATAAAAAAATTAATAAAAAGAAAACAAACACACACACACACAAAAAAATAATAATAATACTGTATTGTATATTTGAAAGGTGCTGAGAAAGCAGATCTTAAAATTTCTTATCACAAGGGGAAAAAATCTACAACTCTGTCTGGTGATGGACATCAACTACAACTTACCGCGGTGATCATTTCACAATAGATATGTATATCAAGTCACGATGTTGTACACCTGAAACTAATAATATGCTATATGGTAATTATATCTCAAAAGAAAGAAAGAGGCGCCTGGGTGGCTCAGTTGTTAAGCGTCTGCCTTCAGCTCAAGTCATGATCGCAGGGTCCTGGGATCAAGCCCGCATCAGGCTCCTGGCTCTGTGGAGAGCCTGCTTCTCCCTCTCCCACTCCCTCTCTCATTGCTTGTGTTCCCTCTCTCGCTGTGTTTCTATAAAATAAGTAAAATCTTAAAAAAAAAAAAAAAAGATCCTTTTGGTACTGGGTGGAGGGGTTCTGAGGTGGGCAGAGACCACAGGGGTCTGGGGAGGGTACAGACTGGAGGCACCATTTGGAGGGGGTGGTCTCGCTCTTGGCTGATGGGGGGCAGGAAGGGAGGAACACAGGGTGGACACAGGCATTTGAGGTATCTAGGACCTCTGGGGCTCTAGAGAGTCCTGAGTCAGTCTGATGATATCAAAGTCCAAGGATCTTCCCCACCCACCTTGTTCTCCCCTCAACACCCACCACCTGTGCAGAGTCAGCAGATGAGAAAGGAGCAGAGATGGGTGGGGGGAGAGGGAGGGAAGGAACAGCCTGGGAGGGAGGAGGGAGGCCCCAGAGGACCAACTCTATAAGAAGGGATGGAAATCCTAAATCATCTCAGCTGATCTCACAATAACCCTGTAAGGTAGGTACCAGCAGGCTTACATTTGAGGAAACTGAGGCTCAGAGATAGAACAAACTTGCCAAAGACACACAGACCATGAGTGACAGGATCGGGGTTTGACCCCAGCAGTTGGGCCCTGAGCCTCAGCCCAAGCCCCGCCACTGTTCTTGACCACCTGGCATAGTGTGTGACCTTGGCCAGGCAGGCCAGGGGGGTGGGGAGATGGACAGAGTCAGGTGGGGAGGAGAGTGAATTGGCAGTGGAGACAAGAGGATGGTCTCCCCTGAGGGACAGGCAGAGGCTTGCCTCACTGGCCCAAAGCCCCTCCCCATTTTGTGACCTCTGGAAATACCACCCTTGGGGGCCAATCCTGGGCCATGACTGTTCTGAGCAGACCTGTCAGTGGTGGCTCCCAGTCCTGACTGTTTCCTCCTAGGGTGTCTGTAGCCTGTGCCACTCTGCCCGAGCCCACAGTCCCCGGTGACACACACTGTGTCTCTATCCTGCATCTTGAGGCTAGGGCCCCCGGTGCTCATTCTTGACATCAGCCTTCCTGGCTCCCCCACTGGGAACACCAAGGCCAAGTGGGGCCCACCACCAGCATATTCTTGAACTCTTCTTGCCAGAGACCAGAGCTTGCTGTGCCTGGAGGAGCCCCATCTCTTGGGGGGCAGACCCCTGGCTGGTATCAAAGTCCCTGGGATGACCCTGGAGTGGGTGCCTGGCCTTGTCTACCTAGCACCCTCTCACCAACTCCTCTCACAGGGACCTGCTCTGTCATCTTTAATCCAGGGATGGGGGGGTACTGGCATTCAGGGGTCCCAGTGCCCCAGACCACCACAGGCAAGACTGTGGCTCAGAGCAGGCCCATGCATGTCCTTCCCTGGGAACATCAGATAACCTGAGAAGGCGGGGTTGATCCTTTCCCAGACAGATGGACAGGGAGATGGGCAGGGGAGATTCTGCCCATCTGGGCTAGGTCCTTGTTCCCCTGGCTAGAGGGGCAGGGAGGTGAGGAACAGTGGGGATGTCCAGCCACCAGCAGACCCAAATTGGGGCAGCGCAGGTAGAGGCTGAGTCTTGGTCTCCCTGGTTCCAGAGGGTGGAGCCACCACCGTAACAGACCCAAGGGGCAGAGCAAGGAGCCAACAAGGATGATTTTCAAGCCTTAAAATGTAAAACAATTTACCCTGCTAGGTTTCAGACTTGCTTGGGATGCATGAAATTTTTATTTTTCCTTCCTATTTCTCTGTTAAGGAATGGGAATATCCACCCTGGGATGTCCCCCACACTTACTGCATTTTTTTCTATTGTTATTTTTTTAATTTATTTATTTGACAGAGACATAGCACAAGTAGACAGAGTGACAGGCAGAGGGAAAAGGAGAAGCAGGCTCTCCACTGAGCAGGGAGCCTGATGCAGGGCTCGATTCCAGGATCCTGGGATCATGACCTGAGCCAAAGGCAGCTGCTTAACTGACTGAGCCACCCAGGCGCCCCTCTGTTGTTATTTTTAAGTAATGTCTATAGTACCCAATGTAGGGCTTGAACTCAAGACCCTGAGATCAAGTGTCTTATGCTCCACCAACTGAGCCAGCCAGGCACCCCTCCCCATTGTATTTTAGAAGCAGGACAACTTGTCACCTGGCTTCCCAGGTTCACAGAGAGCAGAACTAGGCCCCAGGATGAATCATCCCCTGTATCTCACCCATCCCTGATTTGGATAATGTGGACGGTGGCATTTTGGGCTAAGAGTTGACACCAGAGTAATTAAGACTTCTGGAGATGTTGGGATGAGGTGACTATATTTTGCACATAGGAAGGATATGAATTTGGGAGGCCCAGGGGACACACTGTTATGGGTTGAATTGTGTTCCCCAAAGATGTGTGGAAATCTTAACACCCAGGATCTCAGAATGTAGCTTGATTTGGAAACTGGGTCTTTACAGAGGAAATCAAATTAAAATGAGGTCCTGAAGGGGTGCCTGTCTAGCTCAGTTGAAGACCGAGTGACTCTTGGCCTCAGGATTGTGAGTTCAAGCCCCATAGTGGATGTAGAGATTACTTAAAAATATAAAAGTAAAAATAAAATGAGGTCTTAGAGTAAACTCTAATCTCATATGACTCGTGTTCTTACAAAATGGGGAAATTTGGACACAGAGACACACACAAGTGGAAGGCAAGATGGTAGTCTCCCAGCCAGGAATGCCTGAGGCTACTAGAGCTAAGACAGAGGCCTGCAACAAAGCTTCCCCCAACTCCCCAGCATGGCCCTACCAACACCTCAATTTTCACTTCTAATGTCCGGAACTGTAAAAAAAAAAAAAGAAAGAAAGAAAAAGAAAAGAAAACAAATACAATTTCCATTGTTCTAAGTCATTCAGTCAGTGGTAATTTGTGACAGCAGCCCTAGGAAAATAATCCAGGCCCTGGGCCCCACCCCACCCCTAACCCCCGCCAGATCCTGTGTACACTTGGAAGATGTACTTTAAACTTACGACACCACCTCAGAAGCAGTCAACCCAGAATCTTACCAAACTTCTACTTCCAGTGACCAGTTTACAGGAAATGAAAGGAAGGGAAAACCGTGTAAACATGACACCATGAGAATGTGATCAGCAAAACTCAGACTGTGGGAAACTCCACAGGACAAAGAACTCAGTTTCTTCAACCACGACAAAAATGTAAAGGCAAGAGGTGCCTGGCAGGCTCAGTCGGTTAAGTGTCTGCCTTCAGCTCCGTTCATGATCTCAGAGTCCTGGGATCAAGGCCCGCATAAGGCACCCTGCTCAGCCTTTAAAAAAAAAAAATGCAGGGGCGCCTGGGTGGCTCAGTGGGTTAAAGCCTCTGCTTTCAGCTCAGGTCATGATCCCAGGGTCCTGGATTCGAGCCCTGCATCCCAAGGTCCTGGGTTCGAGCCCTGCATCGGGCTGACTGCTCAGCAGGGAGCCTGCTTCCCCTCTTCTCTCTCTGCCTGCCTTTCTGCCTACTTGTGATCTCTGTCTGTCAAATAAATAAATAAATAAATCTTTAAAAAAAATGCAAAGGCAAAAACATAGGTCATGGAGGGGGCGCTAGATGAAAAGGGACCCAGGAGGCACATCACCAGCTACAGTATGTGGCAGCTTTTTCTGAGCCAGATTCAAATGCACAAGCTACAAAGAAACTCTCTGTGAGATAATCAGAGACTTTCGAATACAAATAGGATATTAGTTAAAATCCAGGGATTATTATTAATTTTACAAGGTGCCATCATGGTATTGATGCTTTTTTTCTTTCTTTTTAAGATTTATTTATTTGAGACAGAGAGTGCGCACACGTGCAAGGTGGGGGACAGAGGGAAAGGGAGAGAGAGAATCCCAAGCAGGCTCCATACCCAGCACAGAGCTCAAGGTAGGGCTCGGTCTCACAACCTTGAGACCATGACCTAAGCCGAAACCAAGAGGCAGACGCTTAACTGAGCCACCCAGACACTCCCTGAATCTCTCTCTCTCTCTCTCTCTTTTTTTTTTTAGAGCCCTTATCTCTTAAAAGTGTATTCCTAAACATTTATGGATGAAATGATGGGGTGGTTGGCAGGCAGGGGAATAGAAGGGGTTACAGGTGATGAAAAAATGGGCTCCCCGAGTGGACCACTGTTGGAATGGGGTGATGGGTATCATGCTGAGGTTGCTATACTCATTATTTGGTACTCATTCTGCTTTGGTGTACATATAAAATTGTTCACAGTCAATAAAAAATAAGGACTAGCAGGTCAGCTCTGCATGGATCTCTGGGAGGAGCAGAGACAGATGGTGGGGTGCAGGTCCCAAAAAGGTAAAGACTTACCTTTCAGATAAGACAAATTTTCCATCTTTGAGGCTGGGTAGCTTCTTCAAGGGGTTGATCGCTATGTATTCCTTGCTGTGGTGGTGACCTGAGAGGGGCAGGAAAGGTAAAGGTCTGAGGGCACCGGGACCCCAGGGAAGAGAGAACCAGGTCTCCCAGAGGCAGAAATTCTCTCTAGAAGGGGAAGCAAACCCAGAGGAGTACCATGGCTCACTTCAGGTCAAAGGGCAAGTCAGGAGCTGAACAGGGATTAGGATCAAGTCTCCTGCCGGATCCCAGGTTCAGTGACCTGGACCACCTGTTGGCTCACAGAAGTTGGGGACCTCCAGCCCCACTCCCAACTCTGGGCCTGAAGCCACGGCCCAGGAAACAGCAGAAGCCCTAGGAGCCTGGATCCCACCCTCTACAGCCCCCTCTAAAAGGGGCAAGGCAGCCAGGAGCCCCGGGCCCCAGCATACAGCTGGAATCCAAAAGGGAGCCTCTCATAGGCAATCAATCTCCGAGGAGTTTTGTTTTGTTCTTGTGTTTTGGCACTTTTTTTCAAGGTCGTTACTTTGTTTTTAAACTTTTTGTTTGTTTGTTTGTTTTTTATTTTTTATAAACATATAATATATTTTTATCCCCAGAGGTACAGGTCTGTGAATCGCCAGGTTTACACACTTCACAGCACTCACCATAGCACATACCCTCCCCAATGTCCATAATCCCACCCCCCCAACCCCCCTCCCCCCATTAACCCTCAGTTTGTTTTGTGAGATTAAGAGTCACTTATGGTTTGTCTCCCTCCCAATCCCATCTTGTTTCATTTGTTCTTCACCTACCCCCTTAACCCCCCATGTTGCATCTCCACTTCCTCACATCAGGGAGATCATATGAAAGTTGTCTTTCTCCGATTGACTTATTTCGCTAAGCATGATACCCTCTAGTTCCATCCACGTCGTCGCAAATGGCAAGATTTCATTTCTTTTGATGGCTGCATAGTATTCCATTGTGTATATATACCACATCTTCTTTATCCATTCGTCTGTTGATGGACATCTAGGTTCTTTCCATAGTTTGGCTATTGTAGACATTGCTGCTATAAACATTCGGGTGCACGTGCCCCTTCGGATCACTACGTTTGTATCTTTAGGGTAAATACCCAGTAGTGCAATTGCTGGGTCATAGGGTAGTTCTATTTTCAACATTTTGAGGAATCTCCATGCTGTTTTCCAGAGTGGTTGCACCAGCTTGCATTCCCACCAACGGTGTAGAAGGGTTCCCCTTTCTCCGCATCCTCGCCAGCATCTATCATTTCCTGACTTGTTAATTTTAGCCATTCTGACTGGTATGAGGTGATATCTCATTGTGGTTTTGATTTGTATTTCCCTGATGCCGAGTGATATGGAGCACTTTTTCATGTGTCTGTTGGCCATCTGGATGTCTTCTTTGCAGAAATGTCTATTCATGTCCTCTGCCCATTTCTTGATTGGATTATTTGTTCTTTGGGTGTTGAGTTTGCTAAGTTCTTTATAGATTTTGGACACTAGCCCTTTATCTGATATGTCGTTTGCAAATATCTTCTCCCATTCTGTCAGTTGTCTTTTGGTTTTGTTAACTGTTTCCTTTGCTGTGCAAAAGCTTTTGATCTTGATAAAATCCCAATAGTTCATTTTTGCCCTTGCTTCCCTTGCCTTTGGCGATGTTCCTAGGAAGATGTTGCTGTGGCTGAGGTCGAAGAGGTTGCTGCCCAAATACATGTTTTTAAACATTTTTAAAATTTAAATTCAATTGGTTAACATATAATGTATTATTAGTTTCAGAGGTAGAGGTCAGTGCTTCATCAGTCTTATGTAATACACAGTGATGTTACATCATGCCCTTCTTAATGCCCATCACCCAGTTACCCCATCCCCCATCCCCTCCCCTCCAGCAACACTCAGTTTGTTTCCTATGATCAAGAATCTGTTATGGTTTGTCTCCCTCTCTGATTTCATCTTGTTTTATTTTTCCCTCCCTTCCCCTATGATCCTCCATTTTGTTTCTTAACATATGAGTGAGATCATATAATTGTCTTTCTCTGACTGACTTATTTCGTTAAGCTTAATACCCTCTAGTTCCAGCCATGTCATTGTAAACAGCAAGATATCATCTTTCTGATGGCTGAGAAGTATTCCAGAGTGTGTGTGTGTGTGTGTGTGTGTACCACATCTCCTTTACCCATTCATCTATCAATGGACATCTGGGCTCTTTCTATAGTTTGACTCTTTGACTCTTGTGGACATTGCTGCTATAAACATTGAGGTCCAGGTGCCTCTTCGGATCATGACATTTATATCTTTGGGGTAAATAGCTAGTAGTGCAATTCCTGGGTCGTAGGGTAGCTCTATTTTTAACTTTTTGAGGAAACTTGTTTTGTTTTTTGTTTTGTTTTGTTTTAAGTACGTTCTGCTCCAGGCGCCTGAGTGACTCAGTCATTAAGTGTCTGCCTTAGGCTGAGGTCATGATCCCAAGGTCCTGGGATCGAGTCCTCCATTGGGCCCTCCGCCCAGTAGGGAGTCTGCCTCCCTCTCTTCCTCTGCCCTTCCCCCCCCATGCTCTTGCTCTTTCGCGGGCTTGTTCTTTCCCAAATAAATAAAATTAAAAAAAAAAAAAAAGGTAAGCTCTGCTCAACATGGACTTGAACTCAGTTTTTTTTTTCTTGTTTTGTTTTTTTTAAAGTAAGCTCTCTGCTCAACATGAGCCTGAACTCACAACTCCAAGCTCAAAAGTCCACACACTCTACCAACTGAGCCAGCCAGGCATCCCAATCTATCCGGAGTTTTAACCCTTCCACAGCTAGCTGCCTGTGGCTGGAAACACTTCTAGGGCTCGACTCACACCTCATTTCAGAGCGCCTGGTCTCCTCTGTGTTCTAGAGACTTCTGCCTCGGCAACCTGAGCTTTTAAGAATGACTTCTGCACTTGGAATAGTGTTGGAGACCAGCGCCCTGCATACCACTCAAGGTCTGTGTCACCCCGAGCAGGTGTGAACACAGTGGGGAGGATAGGTGTGAACTGAAGCTTGACTCAGATTTGAATGACCACACACTTTGGCAGCCTTTGCCAACTGATCAGAGGTGCTGCAGCTAACAAGAGGCTACCCTCCCACAAGGAAAAGCCAAGGGCACTGGATGGGAGACTGGGGGACACTCAGCAGCTCTGCCTTCCCCTTTTACCTGAGAAGAGCCTGTTGGTCATAGCAGGGGAGAAAGTGAGGGAGGATGGACAGCCTACAATTCCCTTGGGAAACGTTTCTTCCCCTGGGGACTCTGATGGGTGGAGTATCCTCTGTGTCTCAGCTTAGAGACACCCTAATCTTGTGCCTGCCGCCCCTCAGGGTCAGACATATGCCCTGCAGCAGGGGGTGCCTACCTTTTAGCAGATCCACAAACTGGAAGTCAAAGGGGATGCTGTTTTTCCTAGCAAAGATATAGACAGCACGGCAAGATGCTGACAGCAGGTCCAGATAGAGCTCCAGGCCCATGCTGAGCCACACGGTGGACACCCCCACCAGCCACAGCTACCAGGCTCTGAAGCTGAGCCTATATGTAGCCTGAGCCCTTGGCCTTGGCCCTGTACCCTTCAGTTGTCTCCAACTCAGGCCCAGGACCCCGTGTTCTGGAACTTATTGTTTCACTTGGTGTTGTCATGAGGCCAGGAATCCCGGAATTCTCACAGCAGCAAGGATTCTGGGGAAACTCAGGGGCAGACTAGGTAGAGGCCCCCCGCTCAGGGGCAGAAGGCGGGGGCCACCTGCAGCCCTGCCCTTCCCTTCCTTCTCGGTGCATGGGTGTGCGTGGGGCCCATTTCTGAGAAGGACTTACACATGGGAATTCTCAGGGTCAGAACTTCATTGCAGAACACGACCCAAGGGGTCCTGTAGAGTCCAGAATGAGAACAGGGCAATGAGAATGAACCATGGAGGGTTTCAGAAGCATGCTCGGGGGTATGCATAGATCAGTCTGGCCTGAACTGCAGTTAGAAAAGTGTGGGGAGGAAAAGAAACAGGAGCCTGGCAAGCAGTCAGGGCCCCAGGGACAACGTCACAGGGGTGTCAGGGGTCAACCAGCCAGGCAGAGAAACCCAGAAACTTCAGGCCTGGCTTGGGACTGGCAGTGGCCAGTGGAACTCAGCACCTGGCAACTCAAGAAGGTAACTGGACCCAGATGGAGAGGCCTGAGTATTGTCACTTGAGGCTGCGTCATCATGGGATGTCTCTTGTCCCTCTAGATTCTGCTCAGAAGTGGGGACACCCCACCTCCTAAGGCGGAGTGAGGCTAGAGACAAATGGAGAGCACACAGCATGTTTATTGTGGGTAAGAAAGAGCAGGGTACCGGGCCTGGCCACTCCCCTCTCAGCTGAGCCGCTCCAGCAGTCTCTGCACCAGCTCCTGGGCCAGCTTGGGGTCCCGCTGGGCATCTCGGGGGTCCCGAGGCTGCAGCACAAGCCTGTGGGCATCCTGGACAAGCTCAGGACCCAGAGCAGCCTCCACTCGGGCTCGCCATGCTGCCAGCCGGGGCCAGTCTTGGAAGATGTCACAGCCGACAGCAGTGGGCTGGGGAGACAAGGCAGCTGGAGCAAGGGACTCAGCGCTGGGCCCAGAGTCCACCCACCCCCACCCCAGAAGGCAAGCAGGCAAGCACCTGCATTAGCTCCGTGAATGCCATCAAATCTGCCAGGGAGAGCTGCTCGGTGGCCAGGAAGGGCTTGGTGGCCAGGACCTCCTGATCCAAGTGCCTCAGAGCTGGCTTCAGCTTCCCCAACAGCCGGTCCAGCCGCACGGGGTCCACAGGCTGCCCCGAGAAATGGGGCAGGAGGGACTGGGCAGGGGAGAATCGAGGCAGTTGGAACATCCTCAGCCACCTGGCCCCCTCCTGACCCCATCCATCAGTGATACCCCCCCCTGGTGGGCACTGTATCCAGAAGGATTCTGAGGTGTCATTCAGACTCTGGGGAAGGAGTGCTATGACAGATTACAGATGTCTACCTGGGACAGGGGATGAGAGGCTGTATATAGGCCAACAGGTTCTTTCCAGCATGGGGGCGGGATGGGGGGTGTCTCCGGCTCCCACCCAAGCCTGCACACTAGGGCAGGGAGTCTCACCTTACACAGGTAGACGTTGGTGGCCGGCAGCTGGACGGCGGTGTGCTGCCATGCCAGGTACTCGTCCACGCGTGCGCAGGCCTGCAGCTCCGTGGGGTACCAGTGGGCCGCCGCCTGGTACTTGCGGTTCAGATATAAGAGGATGGCCACGCTACAAACAAGGGGCGTCGGAGATTTCCCCAGCCCTCAGCACTGGGCAGCAAACAGGATGATCCAGCTGGATCTCTCTCCCAATGCCGCCTCCAGGGGAGAATGCCCCGAATCCCACATCCCCAGCAATGGTCATCTTCTTCCCATCAAACTTCTCCATTCCTCATGTGCTTCCCCAGGGGCCCACATTTCCAACTTCTCTCCCTTCTAGGAGCCCTCTGCCTCCAGGCCCCACTCTCTGGCGTCAGAGTCCTACTGAGCGGGAGGCAGGCAGACCTGCTGTGGACGGCCTGCTCGAGGGGCCTCCCAGGTCCCTCCCAGGTCAGTGCTCCCCCGAACCCCTTTCTTGATCCCCTCTGGGCTCCTAGTACTTGGGGACCAGTTTCTATTCTCAGGCAAATCCTGGGGGAGGGTCACATTACTTGCCCATTTTACAGACGAGACACAGGGGACACGAAGTTCTGTGATCTGTCCGCGGCAGAGAGCGAGGACGTAGGGAACTGGGATTCAGAGCCCAGTGCCAATCTGGGGCTGCCTGCCTTCTGGCTCCTGGGACTGAGATGCCAGGTTTGGGACATTCTGGGAGGGCTGACCTCAAGCTCCGATCTTCCTCAGCTGGCTCCAGGTGGTCCAGGCTTGACTGAGTGACCTATGCCCCTTTTTCCCAGGCTGAAGCTACCAGCTGTAGCCCCAAAGCAGCCCCCTAGTCCAGCCCTTGCCTCCAAGCTGGGTGAGCCAAAAGGGCGGGGGGGCTACACCAGTTTGGAAAAATCTCCCAGCGAGGGGTCATCAGCTTTCTGCCTTCCTCCCTCCACCTCCCCCAACCCAGAAGCCTCCTCAGGCCTCAGGACCCCCAGGATTCCATTACCTCTCCGCCAGCAGGAAGTCCCCATCTTTGAGAGCAGGTACCTTCCCCAGGGGGTTCACTTTCAGGAATTCAGGCTTCAGGTGCTCCCCTGAGGGGTGGAGAGGATGAGTAGCTCATCAAGTTCTCGCCCCTGGACAACCCCTCCATGGAGCCCAGCCTAGTCAAGGCTCACCCCGTCCTAGCTCCACAGGCCGCAACTCAAAGCGAATGCCATTCTTCTGGGCAAAAATGTAGATGGCACGGCAGGGGGGCGAGTAGAGGTCCAGGAACAGCTCCAGGGGCATGGCTGTGCCTCCCACTGTCTTCACCTTCTCTCCACTCAGTTCGGCCTCTGAGGGTTTGTTTGGCCCCTCCAAAACGGGGCCTGAAGAAATATGTTCCCCTCCCTGAAACCTACTTCCTCTGAGGTACTTGCTGGGCACCCCGCCAAGCCTCCACACCTCCTGGCCTCTGTGGAATGGAGGCAGGGTGGGCTATTGGAGACTGGTCGCTGGTTTTCCACAGCAGGGTCCCCAGCCTGGCCCTTCTCCTCCTTCCCAGGGTGTTACAAAAGCCTGGACACACCCACAGCCATCTCTTCTCTCTGGCTGGGCCACCCCCTTATCTCGGCTTCCTGGCAGACAGGGCGACTTTCACAATCCTAGCTGAGGTGGGAGGCTCCCTGGCAGCAGACACACACGATTGGTCTTTAAGGCCTTTTGTGTCTTTCTTCCAGGCTCCTGGGCTTACACACACACACACACACACACACTCACACAGTCACACACAGAGTCCCCCCACACGCACACAGACTCACATGCACACAGACTCTCACCCACAGAATCACACATACACAAATTTACACACAGTCACACACACATACACAATCACTCTCACACAATCACACATAGTAACATACACAATCACTTCACACACACACAGTCATATATTCACAAACAGTAACAGTCACAAACTCACACAGACACACAAAGTCACACCCTGACACACACAGACTCACACACTCACACACACACAGAGATACCCACAGTCACACAAAGTCAAACACTCACAAACACACAGATTTATATAGTCACACACTCATACATACACAGTCACATACTTTCACACAATCACACAGTCACACACTCATACACACATACTCACACACAGTCACACACAAAGTCACATGCTCTCACATAGTCACACAGAGTCTCTCTCTCTGTCTCACACACACACACACACACACACACACACACTCACTCATATGACCCCACCTCCACCCCCAGCCCAGTCCTCTCCTCTCTCCAGTCTGAGTAACAGTCCTGACATGCTGACTTGGTAAAGACATCTTTATTTATTTATTTGTGAGAGAGAGAGAGAGAGAGAGAGAGCGAGCATGTGAGCACACAAGTGGGGAAAGGGCCACAGGGAGAGAGTATCCAAGCAGACTCCTGCTGAGCTCAGAGGCCCAACTCTAGCCTCCATCCCACCACCCATGAGAGCAGAACCCAAGCCAAAACCAAGAGTCGGACGTTTAACCAACTGCACCACCCAGGCACCTCAAGGCATCCCTCTCCTTACCTTCTTTCTCTGGTGCCCCCCACCTCAGGTGCAGCACCCCCAACCCCTGAGGCTCTGGCCTGCCCCCTGGAGTCTTCCCTCCTCCTTACCCAGACCTGATCCCTCCAACTCCACCAGCTTCCTAACCAGCCCCTCTACCTCCACCAAAGGCCCTCTGTCCTAATCCACAGGGATTTCTCGAGTCCCTGTCAGATCCCACGCTCCCCTGCACAACTCCCTCCCACAGCCCAAGTGCCCTCAGCCAGGTTGCGTCCCCCCACCCAGTGTAGCCATGCTCCCAGCCTTGTCCATTTTTCTCCCTTCCTCCTGGACTGTCCTGTACACTTCTTTTCTGTCAGAACCCAAGTCTTGGGTCAGAATCCAAGTCTTGAGATGCTGAGGGGTGAGCTCTGGGGCAGCACCTCTGTGAGCCATGGGTAGATTGGGAGCTGGGGCCTAGCATCCATGCTGGCCCATGCTGGTGTGGTGGGTCATGGAGCAGGTGACAGCTGGAACAGCCCCCTGGGGACTGAGCCAGGGCCTCCCAGGAAGCTGCCCCTGCCCCATTCTGGGACCTTGGAACGTCAGAGCTACTTCCTGACTTTCTAGACCCATGCAAGGCAACTGTAATGTTCCCCACCGGTTTTATAGGAACTGAAGTCCGCCAGGCAGGACTATTAGGGACAAAGTCTACCATCCACAAACACAAGTACTTGTAGGACATGTGACTTGGGGAGGACTGTCCCCACCCTTGGTTTCAAGGACAGTTCATGATTCAGCCCAGCCAATGAAGACCCTGTACCCCTGGGCCACTCTGATTGTATCAGGCAGGGTCCAGGGTTGTGGTAGGACTTTCTGGGAAGGAGGGACAGGGAACAGGCACAAAGCTGACTCCTGCTGAGGCCCATGGTTCTTCCCAAGGAAAAGGTCTGGATGCCACCAGCTGCAGAAGGAGCACAGCTGGCTCAGACTCTCCCCCAGTGGAGAGGGAGAACCAGGGCTGGGCATCCCCAGGAGCCTGCCTGTCTACAGCTGGCCATCCTGGAGCCCAGACAGGAGGGAGCGAAGCCACGCAGGCCCAGCCAGGCTGTCGATGGGAGTCTGAGCTCAGACCCAACATGCCCAGAGCCGTCAGGGAGTCCAATATCCGAGATCTGTAACCCAACCCTACACAGAGAATCCCAGCTGACTTTACCATATTGAACAAGAGCCCCAGCCATGTGGTAGATAGAGGGAGGAATGCAAGAAGCGTGACAGAGAGTAACCTGGAAGCAAGATGGGGAGATGGAGAGAGGGACAAGGGCAGCTAGGAACTCTTTCTTCCCTTTGTTCATTTACTCATTCATTCACCCAGCCAATGGGGAGTGAGACTCAGAGACAGACAAAAAGCAGTGGAGGGAGAATAGGCTAGGGGACCAGGGAGGGGTCTTTCTTCTGTCTCCCGGAGGGATTAACAGCCGGTGCCAGGACCTTGGGGATGGGGCTGTGGGCCCCAACATAGCCCTTCCTCCCGGAAAGCCCCCATTCACTCCCGCTGAGCCATTCCCACCAACCTCAGAAGCCTGCAGGCCTCTGGTAGAAGAATTCTCTGCCATTGAATGATTCCCCTTCATGCTGTCCTCCACCCAGCTCTCCACACCCCACTCCACCATCTAGCGGTCAGGCCATGCCCCTGGCCAATCACATACCTGAGCAACAGTAGTCCTGGGAACTAACAGCCAGCCCTCAGCATAGCTCAAGAGCCTGTGCTCACCTTGCCACCATGACCTTGGCCTGCCAGCATGCCCCTCGCCATGCCCAGCTGCTGGAGAGTCCCAAACACACTTGACCTTCCTGCTTTCAGCATTAGGTCATGCCCTTCCCTCTGCCAAGACCAGTTCGGGATTCAAGGTCATTTCCAGGAGCCTCTTCTGTCTCTCCTCCAGAAGCAGGAGACCTGAGGATTCCGCTAGCCCCCTCCTTTGATGGTGCCCAGCGTGGCTAGTTCAGCAGTGGCCCACCCTCCAGGACATAGCTGTCACCTACACTGAACCCACAGTTTACTGTTTACTGTGCATTTACGTCTTCTATTTTATTGCAGTGCCTTTTGAAAGCAAACTGCCCAATTGTGAACAAAAAAGTAGCTGGTGTGGGTCTAAAAGGCACAGGATGTCTCTATTCCCAACCCTCTGAGGGAAGATGGACAAGGTCCAGGAAAACAAGCAAATTGGAGGAATCTCTGAAAGGGAGGCCACAGGAACAGGATCAAAGAGGGAAGACACCCACCAGGGACCCTCAGGGCAGAACAGATGCGACAGGGAGCAGCTCAGGGCTCAAGCTGGGAATGACACAGGTTGGGTAGAACCCTGGTAGAAAGGCCCAGGGAACCATGAGCTCAGAAGCCAAGGTTAAGGACCCCATTTATTGGTTGGCATTGCCATCTACTGTCACATCCAAGAACAGCAGCCATATAAGCCACATGGCCCCCTGCTGGATGTCCTGAGAAACTGGGAACCCTGGACCTCTCCTGAGAAAACAGACCACTAGACAAAAAAACAAACATTGGCAAAAGGAACTCTGAGAAACTTGAAAGTGTCATGTGCTTTGACCTGTGCTGTTTCTGTTACGTAAGTTCAATTTCCTAAGTTTTGTGTTCAGGCACGTGGTCGGTGATGAGAAACCCTTGATTGTAAAACAGGGTATGGGGTGCCTGGATGGCTCAGTTGGTTGAGCATCTGCCTTTGGCCCAGGCCATGGTCTCAGGGTCCTTAAATTGAGCCCCAAGTGGGGTTCTTTGCTCAGCGGGGAGCCTGCTTTTCCCTCTCAACTCTACTTGCCACTCCCCTTGCTTGTGCTCTCTGTCTCTCTCTGTCACATAAATAAAATCTAAATAAAAAGAAAAAGCAACAACAACCAAAAAAAAAAAAAAAAAAAAAAAAACCAGGGTGTAGTCTTTGTGATGATTAAAGACACTATGTTCTATTTTTTTTTCAAGATTTTTTTTTTTTTAAATTTGACAGAGAGAGAGGCACAGCAGAAGAGGGAACACAAGCAGGGGAAGTGGAAGAGTGGGAAGCAGGCTTCCTGCGGAGCCGGGAGCCCAATATGGGGGCTCTATCCCAGGACCTTGGGCCCTTGATCTGGGCCCATGATCTGAGCTGAAGACAGACATTTAATAACTGAGCCACCCAGGTGCCCCAAAGATGCTACGTTCTTCCCTCCCTAGACCCCACTAGGATGCTAGTGAAACATGTCACCAAAGAGCTGACAGGGCAGGAAGTGCAGCTCAACTCTTTCCCCCAAATCTGCTTATCCTCTGACCCTTGTTTCTGTAAAATAACATTCATGCTTGACAAGTGATAACCAAATGTTAATTTAAAAATTTTTTTAAGATTTTTGTTGTTTATTTATTTGAAAGACGGAGATCACAAGTAGGCAGAGAGAGACAGGCAGAGAGAGAAAGGGGGAAGCAGGCTCCCTGCTGAGCAGAGAGCCCGATGCAGGGCTCGATCCCAGGACCCTGAGATCATGACCTGAGTGGAAAGCAGAGGCTTAACCCACTGAGTCACCCAGGCGCCCCACCAAATGTTAATTTAGTTGTTTTGCAGGAGCTCAAGCTTTCATAAAGAAGCCAGCAGAATCCAGGACCACTGACTTCCTCTTTGAGCACAACAAAATGAAATTGACCCTCCCACACTCAGCAAACTTCCTGGGGCTGATCTTGAGTCACATGACTCTTCCCCCCCCTTTACCTTCTTTTGCTGGCCTTTATTTATTTATTTATTTTTTTAAAGAACTTTTTTTTTTTTTTTTAAAGATTTTATTTGTAAGAGGAAGAGAGCATGCTCACAAGCAGGGGGAGCAGCATGAGAAGGGAGAAGCAGGCTCCCCATTGAGGGGACTTGATCCCAGGACCCTGGGACCATGACCTGAGCCAAAGGCAGACCCTTAACCGCCTGAGCCACCCAGGTGCCCCTTGCTAGCCTTTCAAAATCCCTGACTCTACCCCTTCAGGTAGGCAGGGGTGTGTAAGTGTATGTGTGTGTGTGTACTTTTATCTTATTTTAGATTTA